AATAAATAAATAAATAAATAATCTTTATGCTCTCTCCCCACCCTACCCCAATACCCAAAGACTGAAACCCCAAGCGACACGTACTGTAAAGTTGCATACTGAAAATACTCACAGATGTTCTTCCTTTGTTCTTTCAGATATAGCCAACAATGCCTGATATCTTTGCCAATGTCGCTGTAGGAATAATAAAAGGACTGGTCTATGCATATGATTTTGTGACATGGCCCATTTATTTCCTGGTGTTCAGTCCTGTCTATAAATTGAGTAAATCCAACAGAATTAAGGTAAGTCATTAACTGCACAAAGGTTATTGAACTTGAAAAAGTAAATTGTCTTAATAAGCATCATGCAGTCGGTAGCTAATTAATATAACAGCAGGATTTTGTCCAAGGAGGAATGCCAGCTGCAGGAGAATGAAGGAGTTAAAGAGACTATCCTCATAAAAATTTAATTAAGAAAATAAAAACGGTGCCTGAACTAGGACCAGAGAGAGAGAGAGAGAGAGAGAGAAAGAGAGAGAGAGAGAGAGAGAGAGGATGCATGTTGGAAGGGCACACTTTTTACCAGCCCAATTTCACTGCACATCCACATATCAAAATGTTTAATTTCCTGGCATTCACCATTACCATCAATATGTACAAATGTGTCCAATTTCCATTAACAGAAATTTAGAGACCATTCCCAGAGACTATCGTACTAACTTTGGATCGAACTATCTCCAAGGGAATTCTCGCTTAATTGCAATTAACTTAAGCGGCTAAGATATCTGTCATGCCTACAGAAACTGATAGGGGGTAATTAACTATAGTTAATTAGCAGCTTCAGCAGGCATGCCAGACACCTAAGCTACGTACCTAAGCTGAAAGATGGACTGATCCTGTTAGATCGATCCAGGGATGAGAACCTATCTAGTCTTATATATATTCCCTCCTCAAACTTGGGGGGTGGGGGGGGGGGGTGGAACAAGTGTGGGACTTCATATTGACAGTGGTCATGTATGCTGCAAACTAATCAGTAATCAAAACAAGGTGGCTGGTGTGTGCCCTGGATAAAGTCTGAAAAAATGTCTAAATAGCTTCATAGCTTGGAAGGTCAGATATGGATTGAGGAGGCCAATATAGTTGTTGGTTTTATTTTTTTAAAATGAGACTCTAGCTGATATCAATAAAGGATGCAGGACATTAATGCAAATTTGCTGAAATGAATGAGAGAGATAAAATTGCCCTGTCTAAATTTTTTTACTATCTAGGACACAGGGCGAGCAGCTGTTGGTGTATAAATGTTCGACATTTGTTCAATATCAGCATACAGGTAAAAGCTGAGTATCAAGGTGTATCTGGTTATTATGTACGTAGACAGGTGTGTATATATGAATTTAACATTCAGCTGAGGGCATGTGTAAATATGCACACATATGTATAGTGGAGTTGTTTTAATTTCAACTAGGAAAGCACACGGCTGAGACCAAGCTCTGCCATCACAGCTCTGTTCGCATAATTATTTATTAGCTAATTTCTTCCTTAATTGATTGATTTTTTAAAAATCATCATCACTGAAATGCATCACTAGTTAATTACTCTCTAAATTGATTTTTTAAGAAGAGTTATTATCATTAAAATGATCGAACCAATTCTAAGTTTATATTGGTAGTAGCCAATGTCATATAATCATATATTATTAATCTCTCCAGATAAAAGGCAAAATCTTTGTTATATACTCTTATGCAATTTTTGAGTTTAATCTATCTTATTGATTTAGTTTTGTCAAATTATTCTTAGGTGATGAAGAATGATCTGAAATATTGATCAATCTCACATTTTCTGTAGACTCCAACAGTAAGTGAGTGAATCATCTTATTCAGGCTTCATGAATGATAATTGCCACTTGCTAACATGAGCCTTAGATTTGTGAGCAAAAATGACAAGAGTCTAGATATTAAGTACCTCAGCGCAAAATTACTAGCTATAAGAATGGCCTTGGAGCACACAAAACAATTTGGATTTACAAATTTTGGGTGTGCTTTGCTGTCCTCATGGCTGCTTTTCTGTTTTATTATAGTTGCATGGGGTTCTTACAGTACTAGTACGTAGTTCCTGGTCCAAGTCGTTAATTTGGGCATTTGTGCCCACAAATCTGAGGCAAGGGTCACAAATGCCTAATCTATTTAGAAAGCCTGTTATTCATGTTGCAAATTGATATTTGCTGGTTAGAAGCAAGCATGAGTCAGGCTGGTAGCACAGTGTACAGTGTACCTGAGTAATGAAAATTATATATGGTAAATGATTTGAAATTTGCCATGCTATCTCACAGTGTTGCATCTGGGTACCTGGTTTTGGAAACTCGGAGGCAGTGGGCCCACTATTTACAGGCCCATAGCCAGCAATTTCAAAAGGGGGGTTCTTTTTCAGAAAAAGTGGACCTTTTCCCATAAAAACGTCATGTATCTAGATCAAATTTTACCCAGAGTGGACCTTTTCCCAGCAAAAGGGGCGTTTTTTTCTAATCCCCCGAACCCCCCCTGGCTACGGGCCTGATTTAGAAATTTGGGGGATGAAGAATAACTTAAACAGCCAACCCCTTCCCCTAGCTCCCCTCCCCCAAGATAAATCCATAGACTAAGTAGTACAATTGAATAAATAATTGAATAAGAACATATGTAAGTGAGAATTGGCCTGAAACATTCAGCAGGTATATCTTATTATTAAACAGATCATAAAGCTACAGACATTAACTGACTTTATATTAAATCAAGTCCGACAAAAAGTTTGTTCTGAAAGTTAATTGCAATTTTTTGTGAAGGTGGTCCAAACCCTGAAAGTATAACATTAGTAACTTGGTATTTTCAGTTGGGAAAATTGTTAATTTTACTGATACTGTTCTAGTACTATTGTTTTAGTCAAAAATTCCTAAAAGGACAACGTAACATTCCGATTGTGAAAACACTCTACCTTCATGTAATTGTTTTAGTCTTTACAGTAATATTACCAAAGATGCCATAGAGAAAAGTGATTTCAAGATCAAATATCTGAAAGATTGATGAATTTTCCCCGTGGAAAAGATTGAGTCATTACTGTATACTGGTGCTATAATGTGTAACATTTGTAGAGCAAGTGAAGACTTCTCCCAGCATGGAAACATGTTTTCTGTCTTAGTCATTGACTAAAAAGCATTCTTCTCTTAGCTGTAAACTGACAGATGTGCCAAATAATTAAAAAAATATGTTCAATTTCTTTGGTAGATTCATATTTCAACCATTCATAAAAAAATAATAATAATAAAAAAATAAATAAATAAAACAGTATATTGACAGACTATTAGCATTTTGTAAAAACTGAAAAAAAAAAGAAGTAATTTCAATATTTCAGAGAGACCTTTTCAAGTTCATACACCTCCCTCTTTTCCAGATAATGCTTATTATCAAATTATTTCACATAACTTTCAGCCAAAGTTTTAACCTTTTTTCTTCAGGCAAGACCAGAGAATGATGACCCTGGTAAGCCGTGGCGGTCAGTTGATTCAGACCACCTTGTGACCACCCTGATCCCTGGTTGTGACACAGTGGACGAACTGTTCAAGAGGGCAGTGGACAATTATGGACCAAACAGGTGCTTGGGAAAGAGGGAACTGCTGAGTGAAGAGGATGAGAAACAGCCCAGTGGGAAAGTTTTTAAGAAGGTAGGCTAGTATATTAGATGTGGCATTGAATAAATCTTAATATGAGGAGCAATTTATGGATGAGGTTATTTTTTCTTTGGCTCCTATATAATGATGAAAAAATAAATTAATTTTGTGTCAAGAGTATTTTTTACCTATATACGAAGCAGTGCATTTGATTTCATCAATTTGAAAGCCTTTTATCAATGGCTTTATTAAATGAGCAAGCCTTTTTCCCCAAAATTGTTAATAGATAAATGTGTCACTTTGTGCTGTCTACACTTGTTGACAAGTTTTTGAAAATTTGTGTACTACACTATTATGGTAAAACTGAGTACACATGTGTAATATATTTACTGGTAAAGGGATTGTGAAGAGGTTGAGATGCACTTGCATTTTTTTGAAGAGGTCCACTTCAGTCTCTGACTTCATCTTCATATTTCTAGGCCATATTTGGCAAGTACAGCTGGTGGAATTATGAAGAAGTTTATGAAAAAGTGACAAATTTTGGCGCAGGTCTGCTCTCGCTGGGACTAAAACCAGGGGAGAAGATCGTCATATTTGCAGAGACATCTCCCGAGTGGATTATAGCAGCTCAGGCCTGCTTGAAGTACAACTTTCCAAGTGAGTTTATTAACAAAAACGGCAAAATGCTAACGAAACCTGTCCATCTTATTTAAGTTAAACAGTAAATGTTATAGCTTTATACATTTATTTTTTCTGATGTGAAAAAAGGGTAACAAAAATAAGTGAATCCCAGACTTCTGATATTTTCAAATAATTTTTTATTGTTTTTTTTTCGTAGTGGAGGTTTGTGGTTATGGATCGTTCTTCGGTTTTTAATGCTTCAATATTGGTATAGTTATTTATCTTAAATTTTTAATCAATTGTTTTCAAGTCGTCACTTTATATGCCACTTTGGGTGAAGAGGCTGTGCAATATGGAGTCAATGAGACAGAAGTCAGTATAGTCATCACCAGCTACGCACAGGTCCATAAATTTAAGGTACGTATGGTATTAAGTTAAATATTAAAAAATTCCCCCCCCCCCAAAAAAAAAAAAAAAAAAAATTGTCTTACATTGAAACTAAAATTTTGGTCTACTTTTGTTCAAGATAACCAGTAGTATTTCACTTCAAAGTATTTATCAGAAATATTCATTTAAACATGTATTTCATAATATTTCATATGATCGAATGTTGTGTCAAAATAGACTTAAGTTTGGTCTAAGAATTTAGACTAACATTAAAAAGGAATTAAAAATTTGTGAAATAGTAGACACTACTTCCTTCAGAACACTTTTAAAATCACCTGCTATTATAAAATTTATTTTCTAAATCTGGCATTTGCTTTCAGAAATTCTGTTTTACCTCTAAATAATGAATAAATTTTTCTGTTAAATATTTAGGATACTCTCCCCAACATGCCGACTGTGCAACACATAATCTACATTGAGCACCCTGATCACTCTAAGACTCCTGACACCAAGGAATTCCCCACCAATGTCAGGGTACATTCCATGCAGGCTGTAGAACAGGAGGGGGCCAACAACAAGATTGGTGAGGGGAAACTTTTGGCAGTTTGAAACCTATTGTTTAATTTGTAGAATATTTTTCATTATTGAAAAAAAGAACTGATATGCTAGTAAAAGAATTGTATTGCTCATATGTTCCACCCTGAGCTTCAGAGATAACTTGACACTAACCTCTTCACTATAGCCTATCTTCATCGTGTCAAGTTACCTCTGACCACATTCGATTGCCCCTGCCGCCCGCCAATCAAATTTAAAGCCCGCACTCAATGACTCATCGAACGATCTAGCCAATGAACGCACACGAGTCAAAGCGCGCTTTGTTCAAATCCGGACCAATCAGAGATAAGGCTCAATATCAGGGACTTGCCGTAACTTGTGGGCAGCATGCAAAATACATCATCCCTCAGTAGATAATGATGCAGGGCCTCAAACTGCTCTGGTTTCAATTCCGATATACTCATATTTTGCAAAGAATCAAGAGATAACTTAACACATTATTTTAAGTAGTCACTCGTAGAAGACGCCATGCTTTCTTTGTGTACGGTTATGCACTCGGCACTACTCGGATGTCTCCGCACTCGACAATAACTTAGTTGTTAGTATGGAGCTTGCGGAATCAGCCAAGGATTACCGATTGACGGTCAACCAATCAGCGTTTTCACCAAACTTTGATGAAAAATTTTGAAACTTGGATTCGATTGGCTTATATAAACTAGGTCAAACTATTTTCGTCAGAGGTAACTTGACACGACGAAGATAGGCTATTGTGAAGAGGTTAGTGTCAAGTTATCTCTGAAGCTTGGGGTGATATGTTCTAACTGTGAGGTACATTTTGTAGCAAAAATTGTGTATTTTGATATCACACTATCAGGGTATGCGTGGTAAAATCACCCTATGTATGGTAATATCAATGTGGTGATATCAGCATAAAACTCCATTCAAAATTAGGGGGCTTGGGGGGGAAACGTAAAAATTTTCTTTTGTATATAGGACAAATCTTACACTGCTACCCCTAGCGTGATATACACGGGTATATTGGGCTTTTGGGTAGTACATTAAAATAATAATTTATTTAGTTCTTAATCCACATTACATTACACTACATCATGTCACATCAGGTATGAAAACTAAAATCATAATTTCTGTTTTCTGTTTTTCAAGAGGAAGGGACTTACCCAAAGACCAAGAGTAGTGATCTGGCAGTCATTATGTACACTAGTGGATCTACAGGTCCTCCCAAAGGTATGCCTTTCCCATTTCTGGTAGATATTACCCATTTCAACACAAATTTCTCTCTCAGACCTGTTAACTCAGATAGCCCAACAAGTATGAAGTTACCGGAGTAACTTTGTGATATCATTGGAAGAGCTTCCACTTACAATATGGCCGCGATAAGTACAGTTGGCATATTAAATGACATAGTTACAAGTATGAAGTAGTAAATGAGTTGTCAGAAAATTAGAGTGGTTTTGCATTTTCCATTGAGATTTGGGGAAAATGTTGAGAAATTCTTAAGATACTTTGATTGTCCTAATAAAAAGAGTTACTTGTAGATGCTAGTTTGTGTTAAAATAAAAATAAGACTGTTAAATATAAAGTTGGAATTATCAAATGCATTGACTCTTTTTCATACAATTCATGTATCTGTTGTGAACTGCAATTTATAGGGGTTTTGCTGAGTCATGGTAACCTAATGTCTGCCATAGCAGGACAGTGTAACAGGGTCGGCCATCTTGGGTAGGTGCCACAAAATCTCTCTGAAAAAAAGGCATTTGAAAAACCCTTCTGATAGTCTGTTTATTTGACAATCATTTTCTGAATTTCCACAATAGTTCAAAGTCGGTGAACATTGATTTTATTTTATCTGTTTACCAAATACTTTATTTCATATCTTAATTCATTATTTTTTCTATGTAGTTCAAATTACATGTGCAAATTATTCCCAGAAAGATGTTTTTCTGTTAAAACAGAGCTGCATGCCATGTGCAAATTGTTTATATAATTTATTTTCATGAAATGAGTTATAAAACTTGATTTAAACATATTTTGTACTCATAATGTTTTCTTTAATTTCAGGCTTGGAGATGTTTATATTGCCTATTTGCCACTTGCTCATGTTTTGGAATTGACAGCAGGTAAAGCTTGCAAATATAAATTTAAATATGGCTTTAGTGGGACCAGGAATAAATATGCCAATCAGAATTACCAATTAAAATGTAAAAAAAAATATTATTATTAAAAATTAAGAGATAGTAAGTACTAAAGTAATAAATAAGTACATCATACCACATCACCCATGATTCCACCTCCACCAATAAATACTCAAGTCTCATACATGAGGTGCTTCCTGTATGATGATAAAGCTTCTTCTATCCAGAGCTTGCCTGTTTGGCCCATGGTGTCGCCCTTGGATACTCCTCGCCGCAAACAATCACGGACCAGTCGACGCGGATCAAGAGAGGAAGTAAAGGGGATGCCACTGTACTGAAGCCCACTCTGTTGGCTGCTGTGCCGGTAGGGGCTTTGATAGTATTTGAGAAATGTAGTCAAAAAGCATACTGTTTTAAGTACATAATGGGAATATTGATTTTTATAATGAATTATTTTATGGCATATTTCATAGATTTCAATGCAACTTGCAGAAAATGTACAAGTTTTATCTGATATGCAACTTGACTTTTTTACATCTTGAGAAAGGTGCACATGACTGGCTTTGATACTTTTTTGAGAAATGTAGTCAAAAGTATATTGTTTCTAAATAATAGAAATATTATTAATGGTGCTAAAATTTTTATGGCACATTTTATTTAAGATCACAATGCACTATATAGAAAATGTCAAATTTTTACCTAATATGAGACTTGACTTTTTTTACACCTTTAAAAAAGCCTTAATGATGTGACTGTGTTTGACAGGTGGTAAAAAGCTCATTTTTGAATTATGTTCCAGCTGATTGCAGATCGCCTGTATAAAAATGTTTGGGAGAAAGTAAACGAGGGAAGTCTATTCAGCAGAAAACTGTTTCATTTTGCGTACAACTATAAACTGGCAAAATATGAGTCTGGGAACAGCACCCCCATCATTGACAGGTGAGTGATGTCTGTTTCCATTGGAGTTAGGCCTACCTTACTCACAACATCCCAGCATTGACAAGAATTAAGTGATGATGCCTGTCTCCATTAGATTTGAGCCTGACTAATTTTGCACAACTATAACCCATCTCAGCACACCAAACTCAGACAGGGAGGCATTTGATCTGATCTTTGAAAGTGAAAGGTGCTCTTTTCTTTCACCTGCTTATCATCTCATCACACACACACACACACACACACACACACACACACACACACACACACACAAAAAAACTATATTAGAATGGAGTGAATTTTAATGAGAGTCAGGATTTTCATTTTGTACTTTTTATTTATCTTAATATTTAGGCTGTTTAATTTTTTACTTTTTAATTTAATTTGAACTCTTCTCATTAATATTGTTTACATTTCTTAAATCATTACTTTGTAAACTTAAGGTATGCTGAACATTTAAATGGATTTTTGACTTGAAATAAATGTTATTAACAAAATTCTTATTCTTATTATGCCAGATTGGTTTTCAAGCGAGTGCGTGCCATCCTGGGAGGACGCCTGCGTCTGATGCTGTGCGGCGGTGCCCCTCTTTCTGCAGACTCTCAAAGATTCATGAATATTCTGTTTTGTTGTCCAGTGGGTCAGGGATATGGGTTAACTGAAACTGCTGGAGCTGGGACTGTGCACGAAGGTATGTGATACATACTTGAAGGACTCTCAAAGATTCATGAATATTCTGTTTTGTTGTCCAGTGGGTCAGGGATATGGGTTAACTGAAACTGCTGGAGCTGGGACTGTGCATGAAGGTGGGTGGTAAATACTAGGGGGGTGGGGGGGACATATAATAAGAGTGTGATATTAATAATAAATTATGATAGTAATGAATTGGAAAAATTGATTACAGTAATGATGATGATAATACTGAAAGATTTGTATTAAAAATATGCCAATATTAGATGAGACATATAATCAACGATATTATTTATAATAATAAAAATGATGATTTATATAACTAAAGCATATAGACTAAATGTACGTTAGAAATTGAATTCTGTCACAAACTCTAGTTTGAAATGTATCTTTTGGACATTGTTATTGTTAAATGGAAATATTCTGTCAGTTTGTTATTATTAATATTTGATTGATTGATTTTAGCCACAGACCGTAGCACAGGCAGAGTAGGAGCCCCAGTAATCTGCTGCCAGGTCTTACTGAGGGATTGGGAGGAAGGTAGGTGGGGGGTGGGGTGGGGTGGGGGGTTGTGGGGGGAGGGGTCTCTTGTTTATAGGGTCACAATTTTCATCTTGCAAGTTCTCCCCTCAGGTGCCAGCCATCATAAAAATGTGGAATGCTAAAAAGTCATTGAAATGTCAGAATCATGGAAGAGAAAATAATGTTGGCCCATTTGGGTAGGTAAATGCACTAATTTCTTATAAATTGTGTCTTTTACTACTGCTTGGTATTGACCCAAAATCCTGAAATTTTACGATGTTTGTATTAGCTAAAACGTATACCTAATTTAATTATCAGTTTGTGTGAATGATACATCATATGCACTTCTCACTGATTTACCACCAGGTGGTTACACTCCCTATGATGAGCCCAATCCTAGAGGAGAGATCCTGATTGGTGGTGGTAATGTTGCCATGGGTTACTACAAGAATGAGGAGAAGACCACGGAAGACTTTCTGACAATTGATGGGATCCGTTACTTCTGCACTGGGGATATTGGCGAGTTCAAGGAGGATGGGTGTCTACAGATTATTGGTAGGGCTTGGTTTGATAATAATGATAATAACAATAACAACAACAACAACAACAACAACAACAACAACAACAGTAATAATAATAATAATAATAATAATTTTTAAAGACTATGGTCCACATTTACCTCAGGGCTATAAACCATATACTAGTATAAATAAAAACTTGCGTCTGAAATATATCAGCTGTATGTACCAAATACAAACAGTAGTTTTGATATTAATTTTTTTTATAAAGTAGCAATTTTTCTTTAAAAATTGGAAAAAAAATTAGTTTATTGCATAATGTTTAATGACATTGAGTTATGTAATAGTTACAAAATCTTCATGTTCTAGATCGTAAGAAGGACCTGGTCAAGCTTCAAGCTGGAGAATATGTCTCCTTGAGCAAAGTGGAAACAGCTCTGAAAATGCACCCGCTCATTGATAACGTGTGTTTGTACGGGGACAGCGGTCAGAACTACACGGTAGCCCTCATATGTCCCAACATGAAGAACTTGAAGCAGCTGGCCAGTGGTCTGGGGCTGGACACTGGGGACATGGACAGTGTGTGTCACAGTAAGATAGTGGAGAAGGAAATGATGAAGGCAGTTAATGAGGAGGGGAAGAAAGGTGAAATTTTTGCTCTCTCTCTCTCTCTCTCTCTCTGACTGGATAACATAGTAATGAATCGGTCATAATCTGGTTAAAAAGTAAATCATTTTTTTAAAAATATACTAAACAAAGTCGTGTTTTTTACCTATATAGTGTGATGTTTGATAAGGGGTCCAAATGTCATGCCTACTAGGTAAAAAAAATGTTGAGTATAATAAGAAACAGTTTACCTTTATACCATCTTTACTGAAGATCGAGATAAGAAAAAACCTGTCTCATCTCGAATACCAAAATTTAGTCATTCATTGTCTAACTATTTAATATCTAACGATTAAACCCCTCTCTCTCTCTCAGTCCACTTGTTTATTTATTTATTTATTTATATTAAAACCTCACTCTTCCAGCCAAGCTGAACAGGTCAGAGATCCCACAGAAAGTGACCGTGGTCAGTGACCAGTGGACACCGGACGAGGGACTGGTCACAGACGCCTTTAAGTTAAAGAGAAAACCCATCTTTAATAAATACGAAGGCTTGATCAAGGCTATGTATAATTCTAAGTAACATTTTTTGGTAGAAAACTCTGTATGTAGGGTTTGGCGTTGTGTTTATATAAGGTGACCATTGTTATGTACTAGTGGATGTTATGTGCTATTCTAGAACTGTATTATAAGAAGCCAAAAATTGGTCTTTAATCTTTAAGGCTGTACATTTTAACTACTTTGACCACAGTTTAATCTAAAGTGGGTAAACTAAATAATGTGAGTATTGGACATAATTTAGGTCAACAGTTGCTCTGTTTTTTGTGGATGACTAAAGATTTATCCTGGATTAAGCTATGACTGTATTTTTTGTCTTAAGGTTCAGACCTATTTTCGATGTATTTGTAAATTTTGCATCAAACTGTGCCTGTTATTTGTTCAGAACAAACTGCTCATGAAGATCAAATTTTCAGGAGGATAAAAATTTTTATATAGATTGTATCCCAGTGCAGCTTTTGTGTAATTTTTGTTAACTTGGACAGGGATTTTTTTCTTTAGTGACACTTTTAAAGACTTGTTGAACAGAATTAAGTGACACTTTGACTAGAATCAAGTGAGGAATGAGAAAAGCAATCATTCTGAACACTTACTTTTTAAGCAGTGAGGATTTCTCCTTTACACTAGTTATGAAAATGTAGGTAAAACACAACAGTAAACCAGCTTGGTCAGTGGCTTTTTTTCAGTCTAATATAAAGGTTTCTGTTTTAGAAAATACATTTGCAGTTATTCACTGCTCATTGCAGAGATTGGCATTACGGAATTGAACAAACACTGCCTTTTAGGGTGCCAAGATTTAAAATTTTAAAATATGTTTGCGTAAAACTGGGTTTTATTTATTTGCAGTCTGCCAGATATTTGGCCATTTTTCTTCTGAAGTGCATTTGAAATGAAAATAAAAAAACATGCATGTTAGTGTTCATGATATTCAAGTCTTCAGGTTTAGGGGAATTCTACATTTTTTTACCCCTAGCCAACCAGCATTCAGTGGATTTTGTAACTTTTACGTTTTTAGGCTTCTTTCAAAATACTCCTTGCATAAGAATGACAAAAAATGTTGGCATTGTTTGAAAAAACTGACTGTTGATATATCGTAATAACAGTGACTACTGTAATATTTATAACATGATGTGTAGCTTAATATTGGCTTATTGAGCTTATTTGTGTTATTATTATCATTATTGTTACTGTTATTGTAAGCATTGTCACTACAGTTACACTTTGCTTTTATGGGCTCATTCCCATTTAAATTATCATTCATGTAGATTGATCCAACTCTGCAGAGACTCTTGCTGAATGCAATCAGATTAACAGATCAACGCCGCCTCCTGGCGCTCAGTAGAATGCAGTAAAGCTGGTGATTATAGGTGTATGCTGTAAACTAAAGGAGTTGGATCAATCTACATAGAACAATAGTATCATTGGCAATGAGCCCTATGTCAGCATATATGTGTATATATATATATATATACTTTAAATGTAATACAGGTCATATTCCATATCTATTTTTGTGCTACGTTTGATAGTGCTATCACAGTGCTTCTGGTGGTGCTAGTAGAATCCCAAGATGACCGTTGGGGATAGTGCAGTTAGTATGTTTCTATATATTATATTATGTCCTGTATGTTGATGTAGGAAAAATAGTGCCGGTTGTTTTCAACAGTCCAAAAACCTCTATTGGAGCTTATATTATGTAGTAATGCTGAGGGAAAGATTAATTTTGTATACATGTACACAGTAGGTGCAGAATGCTGTGCTTGGTGGCTGTAGAGAAGCTTCACTGTTAACTTGATCACAAACAGCCATCCAGCATTGTTCCATCTAAATGGAAGTCCTCTTCGGTGCATTTAAAAAAAAAGTGTTTATTGTAACGTGATCTGTATTTTGGTAGCGGCTTGTTGCTCAAAAGTGTTCAGTGAAGAATAATACATGACGCTTTTTATTCCCTAATATGTATATGGAGTGAGCTTCTCCGCGTCCTGTTCTTCATGATGTAACGGGTATATAGTCTAAGGCTTGATGGAATATCTTGCTTTCACAACTAAGCTGATGAGTTGGACTATCCTAGTCTGTGTTTGCTCAAAGGTCAAATGATAACAAGCACACGCACGCACACGTGGACAGGCATGCACAAGCCAGGCGTGCACTGGAACATGTACATGAATGTACGCAAATACTCTCATGCATGCTCGCAAACATACATGTTGGGCTATTCTAGCTCAAAAGATGAAATTACACACACACACACACACACACACACACACACACACACATTCAAGCGCGCACACTCAAGAACACGGTATGTTAAAGAAATGCTTCAGCGTAGCCTTCATGTAAGTGCATATCAAAATGGATCAATATTATATCGGGCAGATACGTGTATGCATTTATGTTGCTCATTTTGTAACCTATTAAAGGGATAATAAACGATGTTTCCAAACAAGTTCGCTTGTATCCATTGATTAACGGCAATTCGTCACAAATGTATGTAAAAGTGAAATAATAATAATAATAATAATAATAATGAATTTTAAATAAACGAAATCAAAACTGCCTGGCCACGTGATTATGACCCTGTACACGCGCGTTCTTGGTAAGGTATACATGTATTAATGCCAGTTGGTCAAATCAAATAATGAAATTATGATAAACGCCACTCTCACTCTCGAATTACTTTGTTCATTGACTAACATTGAAAAGAAATTGTATCTCTCAGCCAAAAATAACTGCTCAATTTTGTGGGTCTTCTAGAATGTGTCGTTGGGAGTAGAGTTTGGGGGGAAGGGGGGGGGGGGGGGAGCGGCGGCAATCAATTCTAAGGAAACTTGAATACACGTCCAAAAATGGTCTTAGAATCATACCACTGACATCTTCTGCATGTACTTAGCATTTCACTGCGTGCTGCGCGTCGTGCTTATGTTTTCCTAAACGGGCCAGATTTTGACCCAAAAGGGTTATAAATTAAGTAGAGTAGGCCGGGACGTGGTTAGCGATAACGTTAGGTAATTTACTGGTATACATGTACTTTAAAATGTTCATGTAATAGTCAGTCAGGAGCCGATTGAGGCCGTCTTCTGGGTCTTCCGGAAGACGCTCAGATTTTCAAGTTTACATTGATGGGCATCTGACGTTTTCAACCGGAAGACGGTCAAAAAATGGAGGATGGACTAACAAAGATAATTTGGAAGACTGTCAGAAAATATCTTTGGATCCGTAGTAATTTGAATATATAATTTCATCCTTTCGCCAGTTTTTACAACCTATTTTACTCCTTTTAGATTAAAATGTTTTTTCTTTTTATTCCATTCTTTATTTAAAGAAAGCTATTTCATGTGTAAATTGTTTTATTTATTTATTTATTCAGTAGTATTTTCTTTTTATCATTATCGTATTCAAGATAATAATAAGTTGTGTTGAGGGGCAGGGTAGCCCATGGGTTTGCGGCACTTCATGCGTGCTTGTTAGTGCTTGTTGCTTGGAATTTATTTTATTTAATTACTGCCACCTCAAAAATCTTGAAGATTAATGAAAATATCGTGAATGCTGAGAAGGTTCACGTTCATTGCTTCTGACATAACGATTTTTTAGCACTTTTATGAGCGATATTTGATTTGCGTGAAGTAATGTATAATTGTCTTTGTGACGTCACTATAGATCTTTCATTACTATGTCGACTTCATCGAGGATATGTTTGACGGCATAAGATATATTACTGAATCACTGTTTTACTTGGACAATAATGATGAAACTGGAGCGAAAAATTTATCGAAAATAAACGTATATTTATTAGTAAGACATATTTTCCTTAATTTTTTTCAATCGCGAGAGAGTGTTATTCTCGCGTCAGCATTGTGACGTCATCTTCAGTCGACCGCCATCCCAAGTTTGGATAGCTCGATTGCGCTGTCACTGCTTAGTTGTGTCAGAGAAGTCTTACTGAAAATGAGTAATTTGCAGAGATTTGTCTTTAGAAATATACGGGAAAAGTAAGTTAATTTGTGTGTTTTTTAACGCCGTGCCTATGACTTAAAAAAGAAAATTGAGACTTGGAGTTTTTGTACGCTCTATACCAGTTGGAGCGTAACTGAGAAGTTAAGTGTAAAAAGGATGCATCTTTTTTACGAAACTTTTCTCCATCGCATTAGCAGCGGGTTTTAATATAAATAAATAAAGAGATATAAAAAATAAGTAAATATCGGGTGAGGGTGGGAAGAAGTGTTTGATGCCAGTGCTAGGCATAAAGAGGAAGGGAAGTTATTAATTTTTTTATATTTCAATTTCAGTTTATTTTGGAGTCAGTTTATTTAAGAATTAGATTATTTGAAAGTTTTGAAGAATTGGAACGATAGTTTTATATTGACAAGAGGGTTGCGACCAAAGATAAGTGGTTAATTTCATCGCGTCATCACTTGTGCTCCCTCTCTCTACCTCTTTGTTTGTCTCACAACTATATATGCAATTCTTTTATTCAGCCAAAATGGTTCTCCTGTGAGACTACCAGGTATTCTTGATGCCAGAAGAAGGACCCCTTCCCCGGTGCCAATGGCATTTAGAGGGACAGCGACTCAGGTCCATCTTCCAAGGCTGACTCCAATGCCGCTCTCCCCTCACCCACCCACGGCCCCTCGGCCATCAGTTCTACGGCCCTTGTGTCGTCCCATCACTCCTGCGGACATCGGCGTGCGTCCCCACCGCCGACCACGGTGTGGAGCTGGAGTCCAGAACTCCCTGACCACTGGACACAGGACAACCGCTATGCGTTCCATAGAAGACCATGTCCATTATTTCCAGAGCAGGAATAATCCTCTGAGAGCTCTCCACCATGCTCGGCCTCCCACTCGACGGGACCCATGTGCAGGCCTGGACGACATCTCCGGACCTCGTCCAGCGGGCCTCGAGAATTCCACTGATGGTAGAACAAACACCCGCCGAAAACCTCGAAGACACGGGCGAAAGGTGTGAAGACTTTGCCAGAGGGAGAGAACTTTGACAGGGAGGGAGAGAAAGGGGTTTCGGAAGGGGTGATTCATATAATATAGAAAAAAATTAATAACTATAAGTTAATCATAAAATATTGAAAAAAGGGGATGGGAAGGGGAGAGGAGGGGGATGTTAATATTATATGTGATAAAGAAAATGTATTTTATGTAAATGAATAAAAAGATATAAAAACTAGGAAAATATCGAGAGAAGGAGGGGAGATAGGAAGAGAAGTGTCTACAGCCAGTGTAAGGTATAAAGAGGGAAGGAAGTTTTTAATGGGGGTGGGGGAAAGAAATATTTTCCTATCAAACAGCAATGTGTGCTCCCTTTGCTCCATTTGAGAGAGCAACATGTACCATAACCTGTACATATGTACATATTTGAATTTAAATACAAGAAAAAAACTTAATTTACAAATATAGTTTTTTTAAGTTGAAAGTTTCTATTGGAAACGGAGAGTGATGCAAATTAATAAAGGGGTTCTAGTGGGACTGGGAATATAGCATTTTGTAAAAAATAAATTAACTGAACATATGAGTCACCTGTTACGGTATTAAGACTGGTGTGTGTGTGTGTG